ATGAGACAGCAAATATTTTTATAATGGTTCGGATGCTTAAAGTGAATCCTACATCCACTATTTTCTTTTATATTAGTGTGTTCCTGGTTATTAGCCAAAATTATAAAAGATCACGAAGGTGCTTGGTGTTCTAGGTGTTCTTAGAGAATATCAAGCTAGTCTCTTTCCTTTAGTGTATCCTTGCTATTTTCTTTGTTGAATTCAGAGTGTCTGATCCCAATTTTGTGAGAGGGAGGTGCCTATTTATACCCGTTGAACTTAAGGTAATGATTACATTTCTACAAGTGGGTTGATGTCATGCAAATCTCTCATGTCTTCCCATTGGTTGAGAACTTAAGAAATATCCTTAAATTTAAATGGGCTTGCATAGGTGTGCGAACCAAATTCATTCATAGACAAAACTTGAGTCAGCTGGGTTGTTGACAACTATATTCTTTCTGTCTTGGGTGACATGGCAGACTCTGGATGGTACAAAACCTTCCTGAACTCTGATTGGTGCTCACTGACATCAACTTATGTCAGCCTTGATTTTTTGGGCATAACATATATCAAATGAGATAAATATTCAAATGTTTTTCTAGCATTTGTCTTCTCTAATTAATATCCTAAACCCCTTTTTAATTATTTTTATTTTATTTATACTAGTTAAAATCCTTTTTATTTATTTTATCTCTTTATTTTGATATGAGCGACATCATTCTATCTTTTATTAAAAATATATCTTTTATTTCTTATTTTCAAAACTCTTTTAAATCCTTTTCCTTATGAACCTAGACTTGATAGGAGTCTCATTCATTCTCATTTTTTTATTTCATCAAAATTTGCATTAAATGAAAGTGCATGTTGTGGAACTTTACGAGCAATGCTATGCTTATAACTGAGTTACACAACCAAGCTAAAAACAAATAACAGAGTAGTTATTTTACATGAATTTTATACAATTTTATCCGGTTGTATAACTCAGTTGTAAGCAAAACATTATTGGGAACCTTAAAACCATATTTCCAAAGCTGATTTGTGAGCCAAAACAATTGGAAAACTAACCTCTGTGTCTCGCCGTTTTCCTACATCTGGCCAATCTTTTACGTCTGACCAATTTTCTTATAAAGCTAAAACGCTTTCATTTGATTATTTTGAGTATTTTACAAAACCTTTCGTGACTTATTAGAATTAATTAGCTCCCACACCAAAATTTATTTTCCAAATTTGTTCAACTACCCTTTGAAAGAAGGTCGCAGGCTGACTTGCCGATTTGCTCAACATCTATAGTTGTGAATTGAAGAAAGGAAACAACAAGTGTTCTATCACTCCAAAATGCTGCCAATAACAACTAGATTTAGCTTTTCAATAGTANTCTCCCATGCCTGCCTGAGCCACTCGGCCCAGCCTCACTCGACCTTGGAGCAGCTATACTAACTCCAGTCGACACGCCCACTGGAACATCCCCCTCAGGCATCATCACTATAGTCGGGGCACGCTCATAATCATCCCCTGGGTCTGCCACAATCCCGCTCGAACTAGCCGATTCAGAATCTGACATGTTGGCTTGATCGCCCAACCCAACAGATCGACCCAAGCCTCGCTCCTAACTACCAAAAATTCTAAGCGTCAACCACCCGACCCAAAACACCGACCGATCGAGAAGAAACAGAGTTGTCACTCGTCCCTCAGTACCGGTCAACCTATCCGAAACCTAAACCTTGGTCGACCCTCCCGGTCGACCGACCTGGCTCTTAATTCTAGCCTTCCTTGGGTCGCCCTAGGTGACCGACCCAGCCAATCCCTGATCAAAATATCCCCCCGCTCGCCCTGGGCGACCGACTGGTGCTCAAGGTCAACTTATATTCTAATCGTCCTTGCTCACCGATCAAGCAACTCAATCACCCGTTCGGTCTGGACGACCGACCTCCTCTTCAGTCCACTCCACACACCCCTCTCCACTCGGTCGGATGGACCGAAAGACCTAACTCCCCTACAACTCAGACGGTACCCTGTTCGGTCAGGCAGATCGACCGAACGAACTCAGACTTAACTCAACTTTGCCTTCCTAAATTCCATCCAAAACACCCAGAAAAACACCAAAAAAAACCAGCCAGCTTGTCGAAAAACCACCAGGAGTACCAAAATTCACGCCTATTCTAAAAATCTGCACTCCAAACTCCTCAGAACAAGCCAAAAATATCTAAAACTTAAAAATTTCACCCTATTCTTCCAAAACAAACGCAAAGAAGAAACAAAAAGACGCCTTGAGAGAAGAATGTTTATCGTGAAAAAGCCGAAGTCTACCAAGAGAAGCTGCCGACGCGAAAATGAAATCGAAGACAAAGAAGAAAATTTTTTTTTCTGAAGAAAAACAGAGGAAACTGCAAAAATGGGAGACGAACGGCCTGTTCACTCGTTTTTAAAAGAAAAACTGACAGGCTAAAACACGTGGCAGCCCGCGATTAGCTATGATTCAGAACGCCTTTTCGTTTTCCCGCCTCGAAAACTAGGATTTGATATCTGCCGAACACGTGGCAAGCATCCACGACACCTAGGAATCTGCACGATCAGTTCCAATCGCCCTACCTTCCCGACCGAGCCGGCTCGCGACCGCCAGATTAGTACCTAATAGGAGCCCACGATTCACGTGTCCGGGCAAGCCTCCAGACCGACCGAACAGCCTAGGAACGGCCCAGCTCGATCTCTGTGGGTAAAAAAGTATGGGCACAACCCCTTCGTCCTTCCGGAGCGGACGAACCGACAACCAATTGGTGGAGCTCATGTATTTCTTTCATTCGATCGCCCGAACCCCCGACCGAGCAAGCACCAGCTTAACACTCATGTTCATTCGACCCAACCCACCGAGGGGATACCTCGGCAATAGAAACACCTCACCTCTCCAGTCGGCAGGACGTACCGAATGAGCTTATGAACCTCCAAAGTCTCATTGTCTGTTCCTTTGGCCCTTCACACCGATCGGGCACAGCATTCAAATTATGGCATAGTCCGGATCGGCAATGGATACCCAACGACCCCGGGACAAAAATCACCTGCAGGATCAACTACACCAACAATCGGTCCTCCCGGAAGGATGACCGAGCGCCATCGATCGCGTCCTACTCTCTGACTTAAGAAACTCTTAACTTAGAGAGTGGGGGCAAACTGTTAGGGCCAAAAATCGTCTTTGGTCCAAATAGGAAGAACGGGCCCGACACTGAAGAAAAAGCCAGGCCCAATCCTGATATCACCCAACCGGATTAGGCCTAGTGGGTACAAGATATAGCCGGTCCAACCCACATGGGCACGAGCCTCCTAATCCCAGTCTATTTCCTAAAGTCCATGGGCGGATCCAGAGCTCACGGCCCCCTCAAAATACTTTCCTACTCCTGATCAATCTCCCGATCAAAATCACCTTCCTATTCCTGATCACCTCCCTATTCCTGATCACTTTGCTGCTCGAAGTTACTCTCCTAATTAGAATCACCTTCCTATTCGGACACTGGTAAGACAGCTTACCACGGCCCTAATTCTTCTAGGGTTTGCATCAGAGTCATACTAGGACTCCTACTTCTACAAGGATTGGGAGACCAGATGGTCACTATATAAGCAGAGACCAGCCCTCTCACAAAGGACACTACATTACACCTTCACACCCCAAGCTCCTACTTGAGAGCTTCACTTCACCGCCGTAGTCACAGTCCCCGACTAGACTTCCGGTAACCTCTTACTCCCTAGCCCTCACTATACTAGCCTTTCAGCCTTGCTGACTTGAGCGTCGGAGTGCCTACGGCAAACACCACCCCGGTGTTTCCCGTTCGCTTCACACGTGTGTTTTTCTACGTGTGCAAGTACAGCAGATCGCTAGTGGCCTCATCCTCACGGGATCAGACCCCCCCTTCCGTACAGGTAGATTTTTACGTCTACATTTGATAAGATTATTTTTTAACCCTCTACATTTGTTAATTTAGTTAAATACCTCCGTATCTTCATATCATAATTCATTTCTTTGATAAAATCTTGGTTTATATACGTTTTTTTTAATCTAATATTGGTGTTATTTTATCGTAAGAATATGAAGACAATATGGTGTGTGGGTCTTTTCCTCCAGAAGAACCTTACTGAAAACGATTGATGTTTAGTTGTTCTTCTCCATTACGACATTTGATGGGAACAAGGTGCAGTCGAAAACAAAAATAACTTAATACTGTATAACCAAATAATAAAAGGGAAGTAAGATCATGTTTTACAGTTGTTAAGCGGAGTACCATCCAAAAATAGATGTTCATTTCATTGACAACTAATAAGAGGAATACAGATAAGAAACTGTGACAACTGTGTGATGCATATAGGTAACTGTCACCAGAAACAAGTGTTTCTAAGGTTCTTTAGTCTTATCTTCTAACTAAATAAAACACAAACTGACAAATTAGCCTTGGCCCAGTGACCTACGCAGGTCACTAAAACAACATTTTTAATTTTAAAGTTTTTTTTTCAAATTCTGCCAAAATTATCGTATGAGTTCATGCTGCTGTAGTACTTGACAGTTGTAATGTAGTTATAGGAACATCTAGAAAATTTAAAAAAAAAAAAAAAATTCATAACAAGATGGTAATATATCTAGAACATCGTATTCATCAATTTTTTAAACGATAATAATAGCGTATTCATTTATTAAACTATAATTTCAAACTCGATACTACTAATTAATATTTAAAACGGATGATGTAACCTCATAGCATATAACACAATTATTAGTACAATTAGAAATGTCATGCTTTATGCCGTAAGTGATGTGTTTTCACTCCCTCATTGGTTTTGTAGAATAACAACTTTAATGTCATTTCTATAAAACTTATAGAAGGATTATTAAAAAAAGAAAAGATAATAACAGCTTTTGTAATCGAATTTTTGTGGAAAACAAAAAAAGATAACCTAATTCTCGATTATCTCTTTGTTGAATAATTTAATCTAATAAATTTAGAAATGAACATAAAACTCCCTTCTCTAGTTGTTAATTAACTCTCTATCAATGGATCCATAGAAGAATTATTAATATATATGTTTTGCTTTATTTCAAGGGTCGACGAAAAGATGATAAAGTGAAATTTCTTGGATGCTCTACACACAAAAACAAGACAACAAAACGTGTTTCACTGAGAAAAGTGATGCAACACCCAACGCAAATATTTCTCTTACACCCAAAAAATAACTCGATATTATTGAGATCTGTACTTGCTTATTACATATACGGGTGACATTTCTCTACATAAGAGAACCCCATCGCCAGTCCAAGAGCTCAACCTCTGTGTCTCTATTAAGTTACAGAAATGGTATCTTTAAGTGATAAGAAGGAAGGAATTATTAGTCGGAGTTGGCAGCGGCTCAATGCCTTTCCAGGGAAAATAAAAAAATTAGGACAAGATGATTCCAGAAGGATTACTCATTCTCTCAAAGTGGGACTCGCCATCACCTTGGTATCATTTTTCTATTACTTTGAGCCCCTCTATTCTGGTTTTGGTGTCTCTGCAATGTGGGCTGTTTTGACTGTTGTTGTTGTCTTTGAATTCTCTGTAGGTAAGTTTTTGGCTTCATTGCAAATCTAGTTGTCGTTCTTCACTTTTTCTTTCTTTTTATGGGGAAGTTTGATTAATTATTGTTATATATGTTGCAGGAGCCACGCTTGGTAGAGGTTTAAATCGGGGTTTGGCAACATTTATGGCTGGAGCTTTAGGATTTGGTGCTCACCGTTTAGCAAGCCTATCTGGAAACAAGGGCGAACCGATACTCCTTGCGCTTTTTGTCTTCATCATCGGTAAATCCCCAAGCGGGGACGGATCCACCAAGGGCTGAGTGGGGGCTCATGCCACCACTGACCTTGGAATATTTTATTAATTTCAGTCTATTTTGTATTTTTACAATAAGCCCAACGTCATTTTATTTTATTTTAAGAAATTTAGCGTCAATTCATTCAGCCACCGCTATTTAAATGTTTTTTTTTCTTTTTCTGCGACGTCGAATATGTTTTAAACTTGTGCTTTTTATTTTTCTGTTTGAAAGAATATATAACACATTAACCAAAAAAATAACCACTATATATTATAATTCCAGAAAGACTTTTTTCTCTTTTGATTGAATTATCTTTATCGATTCAAAATAATAATATTAATCTGTCTCGTAGTTTTAATTTACATAATCAATTTTTCATGTTTCAATATCTCAATTATTTAATTTACGTATATAGCCATTTTTTCTTGTTTTTAATCTATACTTTTTCAATATTTCAAACTTTTCTCTTTTAAGTTACCCTCTGGCTCCCGTCACTATCCGAAGCACAGATTTTGAACGGATGTATATCTCTTATTGAAAACCCTTTATTTAACTCTTTCACATTTATTGCTAAAACAAAAATAATTAAAATAATGATTTTGGTGAATTTGGTTGTCATGCAGCTGCGGCAGTGACATTTGTAAGATTCTTTCCTCGAATCAAGGCGAGATATGATTATGGGCTCCTAATTTTTATCTTGACATTCTGTATGATAACGGTTTCTGGTTACCGTGATGATGAGCTGCTGGAGATGGCTCATAAGAGAATATGGACCATCCTCATTGGTGGCTTCACAGCTGTGGCCGTATGCATTCTCATTTTCCCTGTATGGGCTGGAGATGATCTTCACAATTTGGTTGCTAACAACATTGAAAAACTTGCCATCTTCTTAGAAGGTACATCATCACAAAAAAAAAAAATATATGACTAGACGTAAATGAATATTTATATTATAGTTAATTTTATACAGCCATAGGACCATGAAAGGGTTAGAAAGGCTCTTTAGTTTTTAATCTCTGGCTGATTTTTGCGTTTTTGCATATAGGTTTTGGACCTGAATACTTCAAAATATTAGAGGATGAAGAAGCACCCAAGAAAGTATCAGAAGGATATAAAAGTTTGCTCAATTCAAAACAAAGTGAAGAATCCTTGGTGAGTCTTTCTACATAAAGCCACCACTGTCATATATATTCCTCCCCCTCTCTTTTACCAGCTTCATTAATTATGTCACCCTCTGAACTTGAACATAACATACTAATTCTTATTTTGCAGGCAAACTTTGCTAGATGGGAGCCTCGTCATGGTAAATTCAGGTTTCGTCATCCGTGGAAACACTACTTGAAGATTGCAAGCCTAACCCGGCAATGTGCCTACAGAATTGAAGCTCTTAATGGCTGCCTCAACGAGGAAACGCAAGTAATGCCCAAATTATATTCTTTCAAATTCTACAGATAACGAAATGACATGATACGACATTTAATTTATAATTAATCAACATTAAAGATGTCTAATTTGTTTTATATATGGCATAAATTACTTGCAGACACCACAGGAAATTCGGTACAAAATCGAAGAGGCAAGCATAAAACTCTGTTCGGAATCTGTCAATACATTAAAAGAATTAGCTTTGGCAGTAAGAACAATGACTCCACCAACCTCTGCCAATCAACACCTTATAAGTTCCAAAATTGCCGCCAAGAATCTCCAATCCATGTTGAATACAGGCTTGTGCAAGGAAACTGACCTCCTAGAAGTTATACCAGTAGCTACCATGGCTTATCTACTAGTTGATGTTGTTTCTTGCACTGAAAAAATTGCAGACTCGATTCAGGAACTAGCCTCTCTTGCTAAATTCAAAAGTACTAAGAAACCTGAAGAAAGACAAGCTCAGCCAAATTTATGTCCCAATAGAAGTATGCAGACAAATTCTGGCATCAGTATACCTGCAGCTCAACCAAATTTATGTTACCAGAGAAGTATGCAGAGAAATTCTAGCATCAGTATTGCACCCCATCATGTTATTAAAATTCATCAAGAATCTCCGTGTTTGTCAGTTGATCCAACTTTATCAAAAACAACAGTTTGAGAAATGGATCCGTGTCTTTGTATTTGTTTAATCACTAACATGCAAGATGATTTGCCACCCATGTTTTGTGTATGCTGGCAATGACTGCATTAGTTCATGATGAAATTGTCGCAAGGCAATTGTCTATTGAAGGAGTAACTCCTTGTTGTTTCCCTCGGAATGGAAGTTGTTGGTGAGATGGATTTTGATTAATGGCAAAAGGATTGAAATTTTTTTATTGTACGTGAGCATTGAATTAATGATATATTCTATTGTAAGCGGAATCTCCAATTATTCAGTCATGAATAACGATCATTGACAACTTGTTAAGAATAAAGGTTAAAACATCAACCTCATACATATATACTTTTGGCCGGTGGAGCTATATATATGTCTAGAAGAGGAGGAACATCTGTGTGTTGCTGTGCACCCAGAAGATAATGTAGGCGCGGAATTTGGATCAAAGGAATTTAATGGTAAAGTTCACAATATGGCTTTTATTATGAGTAATGTTAGCCTTACTCACTTCTCTCACTCACTTCTCTTACTCACTTTTTTGTATATAGCATAGTACGGGTACCATACGCATAGTACAGATACCATACTCATAGAACAGGTACTATATGTCATTTTTACAAAAGTGAGTAAGAGAAAGTGAGTAAGAGAAGTGAGTAAGGATAGCATTTTTCTTATTAAAAATGGAGTAATGCTACCCTTATCCACTCCCTTACTCACTTTCTCTTACTCACTTTTATAAATATACAGTATAGTATGGGTATTACATGTATAGTATGGGTACCATATGTCATTTTAACAAAAATGAGTAAGAGAAAGTGAGTAAGGGAATGAGTAAGGATAGCATTTTTCTTAAAAATGTTGCAGGTGTATAGCAATTAGCAAAAGAGGTTCACGAAGAGTACAAAAGCCGAATAGAAATTTGAGGAAGAGGATAGGAAAGCAAAGGAGTAAAAAGAGCTGACATGGTTCAACTTAGGGATACGGAAAAGAAGCACGGAAGGTGTGAACATTTGGGCGAGAATTAATGTAATGATTTCAAGTTAAATTGAAAGGATTTTCTTTCCAATGCCTTGGGAAAACGCCTATAAAAGGGGGTACATGTAAAATTGTTAGGTGAAAATTTGATAGAAATAAAGAGGAATAGAGAAATTATTTTCTCTCATTGTGTTTTCTGAATTTTCCACTTTCTCTCATTTCTATCTAACTAGACACTATGTTCTCACTTAATTTTTTTATTTTTTATTTTTTTCCCTAAAGATGGTAATTAGACCCATGTGATCCAAGTACTTGGATTTACCCATAAAATCCATACTCGAAATTTCAAGAAATTATTTCGATATGGAGGTTAATTTCGGCACCTGGATAAAGTGCTAGCGGGTGTAGTATTAATATATCCCTCGGCTTACACTTGGCCTTGACACAAAAAAAAAAATTTGAGTTAATAAATCCTAAAATATAAATTGAAAATTTAAACAAAGCCAAAATTAAAAAAAAAAGAAAGAAGAACCTAACTAACATAAATGCACAACATTTTTTCTCTCTCACAAATTGTCGCCCTCTCCCAATCACGAAAGCTACATATTTTTGTCATTGTCCGTCACCACAACCATTTACTTGTGCGTTTCCAGTAATGATTTCATCTTCTTGTTGTCAACAATGATTCTTATTGCTTCACCTGACTAACTTCTTTCCGCAAAGCTCTAACCTCACTCTCCTTAGACTTGGCAAATGGCGGGTGAGCAGGCATGGCTGAGCGCAATGGGTACACCCCACGGTATGGGCCCAAACAGTCCAAAATATTAGACCTTGACCCTGTAATTAATTGATCTACCATACGCAATGGAAAATAAAAATTCAATTGATAATCAATTATTTTTCTTTGCCTAGATCCAAGTATAGATTATACCGTTTACATGTTTATAAACAAGATCTATATAAAGTAATCCATTCAAGGATTAGAATACTTACGTACGTTTGTAGGCTGCTTCGAATATCTCTGATTTTGGACACAAACACTATTCACCGGCAACTGTTCCGTCTACTGTTCACGTCTACTGTTCACATGATTCTTCGCTAATCGATCCAAAGTAAGATCGCACTCACGAAAGTCCACACGAAGATAATCCGCAGAACCCTTGATTATTTTGCTAGAACAATCAAGGGCTTCAAGAATCAAGAAAAAGAACAAAAAAGTTCTCTTCTTGAGAGAGAGAGAGAGAGAGAGAAGGATAGGGGTGTCTCGCTTTGTAATTGAATGAATAATTATCTTTTTACATTTTAATTTTAAGTTGCACTTATATAGTGCAACAATTAAAACCCTGTTCCACTTAGGAATAGCCATGGGCTCCAATCCTAATTCACCCTTGCAACCAAACACACCATTTATGGTATTTTAATTAATTAATTATTATTATAATTAAAATCAATTAATATATAATAATATATTAACATTCAATTGATAATAATAATTTATTTAAATATATACATAGATATATTTAAATATAATCTCACTAATTTAATTTTAATATTAAAATTAAATACAGACAACAACCTCAGCAAATTTAATTGCACTGTGAGATTACCAAAATACTATTTTATCCTGAAAGACGAAAATACCCTTCTCACAAATTGATTCTTAAATTATCTTCTAAGTGTGTGACCCGTAGGCTCCTCATCATATCGACAGTGTGTAGTATCGCGATTATCACCAATTAATTGTCTCACTACAGATAGACCAAGATTGGCCTCTAACCAGACATCATGGCCACCCAATAGATTCGGATTCAGCGAAACCGTAGCCTGTCAATGGTTTGGTTACTATGCAATTAAATCATTTCATCAACTGTTATCTCATCGAGACTGAGATACATAAATAATGTCAACCTCAGATATCCTCGACATGTTTGTATTCAGTTACTAGACCAATGACAGAAATATTAAATTGGATTGAGCATCAACTCAATCCCACTGTGACCATAGACTTAGTGTCATTGTCATTTACTGAATTACCCAATGAGATAACTTATCCCGTACTCAAGAGTAATGAATCCTTTGTCGATCTACCATAGTCTCGATACACTTCTCAATGTAGTCAATTACTACCGTATTGATAGCTCTAAATATAACTACGTTGGCCTAGTACCAAACTACACCAATTGGTGCACAAGGCGCTCTGGTGATCTCAAGTCTAAGGATCACATGCACCACCATCCGTTAGAGGATTTATTCCATAGACACTAGGGTTACCATCTATATGGAATCCTCTAGTAGGTTTGTCCAATGAACTTGCCTCTAGCAAGCACCCATGTGTTGCACCAGGTTATCAGCAAACAACCTTGACAATTGAGATCAGTCACTGTCTTTCGATAGGGTCGTTCAACAGTATGATAGCCTTATCGTATTATTTGTGTCCTTGGTCAGAATAATACTAGGGCTACATACGTTTCTAAAATGGCCACCATATGTGATCATAGGGTTCTCACTATCAATATTTGAAATACTTGATAACCTCGTCATGGTTCTACCATCCTAAGGACATATATCAATACATATAATATGATGCTCGAGCCGAGCTGAGTCATTGACCTCTTGGCTCGACTCGGCTCGTTGAAGGGGAAAGCCAAATTCGAGCCTAGCTCGCGAGCCAACCAAAAATTGCAGTTTTTTTTTTTTTTTTAAATTAAGCCCAAATTTCATGCAATTCAACCTATTTCCCGTCCAGATACATTACACAACCACTAAAAATCTTTAAAAAATAAAAATCAAAAGAAAATGCTATTGTTATTAATCATTTACAAGCTAACGTACCACTTCTGTTAAGTATGTACGACAAATTAAGTGAAGTGAACTAAAGTTTTTTGGTTAGTTCACTTGACTTAATTAAGTTTTCATCAAAATTAAAATGGGGGTGGGGGGGTTGGTTAGCATAACTATACATCAAATTACATCCCCAAACATCAAAATATATATAACAGCAAAATAAAATGTATAAACTGCCAAATCCTCAAAAGTCAAAATACAATTGGTTGTATGTCCATTTTAGCCCCACTCCTCCTGTAAACAAATTAAAGTGAAACACATAAGTACAATTGTTATTGTATATAAACCGTAAACATGAAAATGCAAACCCAAACATACAATTAATAAATACATACTTGCTAGGGGTGTTTAGTTCCGAGTACCCTACACTTTTTTAAGGAACCGGAACCGGAACCGACGGTTCCTTGAAATTTGGAGCCAGAACCGGAACCGACAGTTTCGGTTCCTAGGTACCCAGAACCAGAACCTGTAACAACGGTTCCGGTTTCGGTTCTGGGTATCCTATAAAATTACAATGACCCCCCAAAAGTTTTTAAAATGATAAAAAAACCCTTAAAAACTTACAAATACCCCCCCACCTGGCACTTGTTAACAAAAATAAAATTACAAATTATAAATTCAAAATGACAAACTCCATTACTTTATAAAGGTAGATTCTCAAAAGTCAAACCAACTTACTTTAAATGTTATGAAATATAAATATAAATGTATTCACATTACTTTTTCTACAAAAGTTTTTATTAACCCCCCTAATATTTAATTTTATTTTATATTAGTCTTGGTTTCTAGTTTTGGTTCCGGTTCCTAACTATAGGAACCGGAACTGGAACCGTACAGTAACGGTTCCAAAAATTTGGAACTGAAACCTATCCATTGACGATTGGTTCTGGGTAGGAACCAGAACCAAACCTAGGGTACCCGCCGGTTTCGGTTCCAACCGGTTCTTTTGAAGACCCCTAATACCTGCACAATCCTACTACCACAGCCAATGTCTCACGAGTGAATCAAACAATCGATTGACTCCCATCACCGAACGGGATAGGAAACTGAATCTCCAAGTGATCCTCCTCTTTTTGAAATGAAAACCAGATAAAAATAAACTTTATTTTACAATAAAGTAAGTTTAAATATTGAATTAAACAAAAAATATAATCAATGGAACCTACTTTGCACCCTTTCTTCACCCCATTCAAAGTGCGACACCAGTCACATCCAACATAAGAGCGTCTCCACTGTATCGAGAGACAAAGAAGCTCGATAACTGTCAATAACCCTACTCTCATCACTGAATGCAGACTCTAAAGCAACTATAGTGATCGGGATGGCTAGTATCTCACGAGCCATCGTAGACAATCTAGGGTACTTAGTTGCATTTGTCTTCCACCACTGTAAGGCATTGAATGCATCACGATCCCCCATACACTTATGACATCCATTT